TCCAGCATTGAGCTCTCTTTTGCCCAGGTTTGTTACAGTAAAGTCCGGCAGCAAAGTCCCTCAAACTTCTCTGAAAGCTGACTTTTTCTGGCCTTGAATCCAGATGACTGTACAAAACTCGGTACCTCTGTGCTGGACCTAACGTAGGATTCAAATTCGAGAGCTCTGGCCATTGCATCCTGCATGGTAGAGGGGTGTGCTTGCTTCACTTGTATCTTAAGTTGTGTACTGTCCAAGGCATCTACGAACTGATCCCTCAGCAACAACTTGAGGAGATCGGGTGGTGCAGTTGGGTAGGCCTTGTGTGCCATGCTTTCCAAGTCCTGTGCCAGCTCTTGCAGGCTCTCCCCTTTATCACGGACTCTCGTCCTGAACCTAGCCCTGTAGACTTCTGACTGATTTTGGGTTTCGTACCTGAGTTCTAGAGCCGACACCAGTGCTCTATAGTTGTGTCTGTCGTCTGCTGACAACTGTCTAAGTATTTCCAGTGGCTGTCCCTTCAAGCTCGTTGCCAGATATACTGCTTTCTGCTCCTCTGTCCATCCGTTCATCTCTGCCAGTAGCTCAAATTGTGCTCTATATGCTTCCCACAGTGCCTTCCCATCGAATTCCTGTGGCTTCCTTCGTACTGGATCACTCCTAGTACTGACATTCATATCTGGGATGTGACTTCTAACAGGGCTGAATATGTCTGCATTAGGGTTTAGCTGCAGGATCTGGAAGGGGCTTGTCATTGTCTGGGGCTGGTTAAGTCGATGGTTAATGTATCCTCCTTGTGTAAAAGACAATAAGTCGTCCTTTAACGTATCTAATTCGCTTTTAAATTTACTAATGTTTTCCATTTGTACTTCTTGCCTCTATTGTTGACTTTCCTGTAGTTGCTGCTGACTTTCCTGCAACTGTTGGATACTTTCTTCCTGTTTATTTTCTCGTTCTTCTTGTTTATTTTCTTTTTCCTCCAACAACTGCTGTAATCTCTCTTCTTGTTTATTTTCTCGTTCTTCTTGTTTCTTTTCTTTTTCCTCCAACCACTGCTGTAATTTATCTTCTCGTTCTTCTTGTTTCTTTTGCTGCTATTGTATTGGTGCCATCAAGTCTGCTAAGCTGTAGTTTGATTTGCCGCTTCTCGTTTCCATTTTTTTTATTCCACTTCTGACACCAATTTATTACGCTTCCAGTCGTTAGTTAATTTTCTGTACATTCGTTCCGACAAAACTTTAGCGACACAAGTCCTTTCTTAAATACAACTGGTTTATTCTTTCCGAATACAACTTTACGATACACTTAATTTCAATAGTCGCTCTATAACAAACGCTATAACTCACGTCTCACGTGGCCAACAATACCCCCGGCCGCGTACATTCAATTACTCATTACCTCCCCGTCGCTTCGTGGCCGGTCTTATATATACAAGACTACACTATATCTAGAAGGATCACGAGATTTAAGGAAAGGACGTGAATGTTCGAGAACGACGTGGCGTGATACTAGTCACGTCACCTCGATGTCGTAACAATATATTAGAACACAAGGTTCAACAGATATCGCGAAGCACATAGCCCTATGAATAGGCTAGGCGATTAAATATTATTCTTCCCATTGAAATCACACCTCGTTCACAAAATAAAACATCCTTCCAGGGTTTAATCAAAGTTAAAACTAAATCAAACAAGCGACACCAATAAAAAGAGTATCATTCACAAACGTGGGGGTTGTGATGTAAAATAATACTGTCACTAAGTTCATGAATAATTACCTGAGGTGTACACAAACTGAAGAAAGACTGAGTGCTCTAACTTTAATACATAATCATTATGACACTGCTATTAACAATGAAACTGTATATAAGTAATTTATGGAAAAGCACCACAGAAGAATGATGCATGCTAATATGTTAGTTCAGTAGTGCATACATATACGTATATGACTGCCAATGATTGAAATAGCTAATATACTATTGTTGTACAGAATTGTTTAAATTAGTAATATAATTTAATAATTAATAACTGCTCTGCATGTAGATAGTAGAGTACTAAACTTACTGTTACAAAACATATGTATTTATGGTAATTTAAGTCTTGCTTCCCATGCAGTGTTGCAACAGAATGATGATTTGTTGATTTTTTATTAGGGGTTTGTGGATTTTATGGGAATAGTCATGCAGTTGTTTAAGCTCTGTTTCATTCAAAGTTGCTTCCAGATGTAATCTCATAACAGATGTTTTTTTTTAATTTTTTGGGGCCATATGCCCCCAAACCCCCGGATCATTACTATGCTTCGCAATACTTATAATGACAGGCCAGTATACAGAATATTTGACGGGGGGGATTCTAATTAGTGAATCAAAAGCCAACACATATTGTGTGAAGTACGATCAGCAGGTAGTACTTAATATTAGAAATCATGATGAAACAAAATGGTGGCCATAAAAATCTCTCATTTAAAACGACTTTTAAAATGTCTGAATATTAACAATATCTACTTCACAGTACTGGCTGAGCAAAACTAAAGCTTATTGTACTTATAAAGCCGCCTAAATCGCTACATATGTGTTTATGGAATCAATCGAAATTTGACTATTTCAACGAATTTTCATCTTAGTAAGTTAGTGACTTTACCAGACAAGTGTACACAGAAAATATGACGAGGTATGTAGCTCTAAGTCTTTTACATAAATTTCCCGTCTTGGTTCACAATGATTCATTTCTTGTACCGAAAAGGATACTAGTATATATATATATGCGCTATTTTGGGCATATAATTAGATTTGAGGGTAGTTTTGTAGAGATCCTGATGAGTAATGAAATCGAATCGGGTATACGTGCTCCACACACTTAATATTGCTGGCGTGCGTAAATATAGCTACTAAAAATCAACAATTTTAAAATTTTATAAAGACAAGTAGGGGTCAACATAGTTAGCTATAGTAATGTAGAAAGTTTGAATGCTACAAAAAGTATTGAAACAAGAAAGGCAAAAGTACAAAACAGAGTTACTTAAAATTAAAAAACAAATCCCTACTTTGGCTTAGACTAAAGTAATTACAGTAATTTGCCAAAGTAGGGATATTTTTATTTTAAGTAACTTTGTTTCTGTAATTTGGCTTTCTTGTGTTTTGTTTGTAGCACTAAAACTTTCTATATTGCTATAGTCTTTTGCTAGCTAGGTTACGTATATATCGAATCCTATTGTTTTTTTATAATTTTTTTATTATTATTTGTAGTTAAGCACATAACTACACAATGGGTTATCTGTACTCTGCCCACCACGGGTATCAAAACCCAGTTTTTAGCGTTTGAAGACCGTAGACATGCCGCTGTGCCACTGGGGGCATCCTGTTATTATACTTGTATTTGTAGTACTCATTTTTATTAAATCCAGACCTGTTTATGCATTCAGTGAATTTCATTATTGGATTGTTCAAATTCTGTGGAATAATTCTTAGAGGGCGCACATAAAGAAATGTGTGAGACTGTGATCAGCAGTAATAATATAGTGTATGGTACTTAAAAATGATCAAGGCATATTTAATATGGTAATTTTTGGAAAAAAATAACAACAAAGTATTTATATGTGTATTGAATGACTGATAAAATACTGTATAGAAGCGTTCTATTCTTAAAGTTCAGCGCTGTTACTATTATTAATAGTAATACTACGTAATATTAAATACAACTATAAATTGAAATGCTCGCTGAGGAAGAAAAACCAAAACAACCACATGTGTCATCGTCAAATACAAACAGACTTACAACAGATGTATCCACCGTACGGAAAAGTATAAGCCTGAAATGTGTTTTTTGTATGAACGATTTAATTCTTGGGGAAGTTAATGTACCAAAAATGCTTCCTTGTCTGCATAGTGCATGTCGAACTTGTGTCCTCAAAATAGGAATCAATGACGTAGTAACGCAAACAGGTGAATTGATTATTGCGATTCTTCATTACTGTTAAAATCATTTTATAATTATAACGTCATATGTAATGTAGAGATAGAATAGTAATTAGCGGGATGTTTGTGGTGTGGTACACAGTGACAGTAATCCTTGATGTTTTTAAGTACATTTTGATATATTTATAGCATGGTTAATTAATCATTTTTGAGAAAAAATGATGAATGATGAAATTTTCTAATTAAACAGTCATTAACTAATTAAAAATTATGTACTTACATAGGTAAGAAAGAGTTTTATTGTTTCTGTTGCATGAGATAAGACTGAAGAAAACATACCTTGTTAATATTGTCATTATTCACAGATGTGCTCAATTTTTGAACAAGGAGCCCAACTACACTGAAACTTCTCTTTGTTTCTACAGAAGTTGGAAATGTATTTATCAGAGCATTGAATATGTTCTCCAATGAATTTTGACATTCGTTGGTGCATTCCAGAATGGTCATTTCTCATTTTTAAACATTTCAAGATTTCTTGGGGTGAAGAATCTGGGCCTAGTGCTTTTACTTTTCCTCCTTTCTTCTTTTCTGATATCAAAACATCCAGGTTTTTTGGTTTGCTAAAGTTTTTGGTGGTTTTGTTTCATCGACATTTTGATTCTCACTGTCTTCCTTGACCTCATTCTCATTACCATGATTTTGGAAGAAGTGAATGTAAATGTCTTTGGCTATCTTGGCAATTTCATTCCTAGAAAGTTGTGGAAACAGAGAATCACCTTGAAGAGCTAGCTGTATGTACTTCGGTCCTGTGCTAAATAGAATTTGAATATAGAACGGTCCTGGACTCTTGGAAGTCTGGAACTATTTTCATGTTCTTTGAGTCCTAAATTGAACTTTGTTTATAGGATTTTAATGGCAGATGCATTTCATCTTTTTTAAGGAATGAAGCACTGCGGTTTCACAATATGTTAATATTTTCATACTGTTTTGTTTTTCTTTTTCCTCTCAATTAAACCAATTAGTACGTGTGTTTAGACTCAGATGGGACCAAAGGCAGTTAGTTCAGGCAATACAATCAAGTGGTTGTTAGCATGCACTCATTGCCGTGAAAGTAAATAACTATACATAGCCCTCATTTCCTGGAACAAACAATAGTGAAATTAGGTTAGACACATCTGGCCTTTTAGTTTTTGGGCTGGCTCATAGATCTGAAAATATTTGTTGAGGCCTGTCCTAGCAGAAGTCAAACAGACAGATGAATTTTTATTCTGCTTAAGCATACTAGGAGCTTTGATAAGTTAAATTGTCATATTTTCTTAATTGTTTTCTCTCTTCATTGTACATTTTAGAGAAGTTAAAATCAAACCTGGAGCTGGTTCATTATTGTAGTCATACTTATTTTCCATATTTTTTATGCATTACTTAAAGTGAATATGTACACCTGTCTTCAGGTTATTTGTATCATATTGCTATCTTTGCAGTAAAAAGGTTATAGCAATTACCTGTACTTTGGAAGAGCAAGTAGAAGACTCAGTCAATTGTTTTACAGCAGGAAGATGTTGTCTATTTAGGCTTGACTACTACAAAAGCTTTAATGGGGCAAAGTTGCACAAACCTGTTCTCTCTACTTACCTGTTTTTTTCTTCAGCTATTACTCAGTTGACTTTCTTTGATTTTGGAATTTGCTTTATTGAGGTACCTTGTTTTATGAGAGCTATACTCCCTCTGTTTATCTCAGAGAATTCCATTTGACACCCTTCCTTTATGCAGACCTTTTGGAGGGATCCTTGCCCTCGGGCTCCTTCCCGGTGTTCCTGCGTAAGGAGACTAGCCATCTTGGGAATCTGTGATCAATTATTTCTGGAACCACCCTTCAGCTTTGGTCCTGTAGGAGATTGGCTTTTACATTTTGTTCTCCCGTGAATTCACTTTGCAAGGAGACCTTTGGGTCCCAGAGGGGTTTTCTTAGTAGCCTTTATCATACAGGGCTCACATTTGTCTGTTTTCTGTTAAGTGCATTCACCCTGATACTGCATTTCTCCAACAATCTTGGCATTTGGCAACTTCTAGTTCTGTTCTTGGAGGCATTATCTGCTATGACATTCCTTCTCCT